CCAAATAAAATTTAAATTATCTCAAATACATTTAAAAGAAAAAAATAGCTAATACATCTACTGGTTGCCAACATGAGATCAAATATGCTCAGCCTAATCATTTTGTAGTTAAATGTGAGTTTGTCAATCATGCATTTGATGATGAAATTCGGTGAACTATGCTAATATTGCCGCTCCTCCATGCTCATGCACAACATTGTCACCTTGAAACTGAAACCCTTGATTGTAGATTTCATTCGAACGCTCATTCTCCACAGTCATGTTGTGCATAATTACACAAGCAGTCATCATCTCTCACAACTTTTTGGTGCTCCACATTCTAGCTGGATACCAAACGATGCCCCACCGAGATTGAAGAACACCAAAGGCACACTCCACATCCTTCGTAGCACTCTCTTGTGTTTGGAAAAATCTCTTCCTCTTCTCTCCTACAAGGTTGGAGATTGTCTTTACAAGAGTAGTCCACTTAGGATAGATACTGTCGTCTAGATAGTACCCTTTATTGTAGTGGTGACCATTGATATCAACATTGACCTTCAGGCAGTTGCCTGTTGCAAGCCTTGCAAACACCGGATAACGCTGAAGCATGTTGATGTCGTCATGAGATCCGGCCATGCCGACGAAAGAGTGCCAAATTCAGAGATCTTGTGAAGCCACTGCCTCAAGTATGATAGTGCAAGCTTTCACATGACCCCTATACTGCCCCTGCCAAGTAGAAGGACAGTTCTTTCACTCTCAGTGCATATAATCTATGCTACCAAGCATCTCATAAAACCTCTACTTGCATTGATCACCAACAACCAGGCTATATCTGCAACAATTGGCTCTCTCAAGTACTTGGAGAGCGGGAGTCATTTTACCATAACGTGAAATTCTGCCGGAAACAGACGCCAAACACATGAACCGCAAACTCCCGCCGTTCCCCCACCTCACACTCCGCTTCTCCTCCTCCTCCAGCTCCGCATCGCCTTCCCCGCCGCCGCCTCGCCGCCTCCCACCTCCAGTGCCACTACGTGACCTCCTCGCCCACCGTCTCCCACTTCTGCATTCGCCCGCCCCTCCTCCTCGATCGTCACCGCCGGTGCACCCTCACGCTGACCTCCTCCTCCGTCGCCGCAGCGGAGAGGCTACACCGGAGAGCCTCCACCTTGAGCTCGTGAAGCGAGGGCTCACCAATGATCTCTTCCTCTCAAACCATCTCGTTAATTCCTACGCTAAAAGCTCGCCTCTGGCCTGCGCGCGCCAGGTGTTCGACTGTATGCTGGAACGGAACGCCGTTTCCTGGACCTGCCTGGTATCTGGGTACGTGCTGTCAGGGATCACCGATGAGGCCTTCCGGGTGTTCCGCGCAATGCTGGGGGTCGGTTCCGAGTGCAGCAGGCCCACGTCATTTACCTTTGGGAGCGTGCTCCGGGCGTGCCAGGATGCTGGACCAGACAAGTTGGGATTTGCGGTGCAGGTCCATGGATTGGTATCAAAGACTGTGTATGCATTGAATACAACGGTGTGCAACGCCTTGATCTCGATGTACGGTAATTGCTCTGTTGGTCTGCCCATCCAAGCGCAGCAGGTGTTTGATTCCACACCAGTCAGGGACATCATCACGTGGAATGCCTTGATGTCTGTCTATGCTAAGAAAGGGCATGTGGTTTCGACATTTACCTCGTTCACGGCAATGTTGCGTGATGACTCAGCAATTGAGTTGAGACCAAACGAGCATACTTTTGGGAGCTTAATCACTGCGACAACTGTGTCCTCCTGCAGCTCAAGAGTGCTTGAGCAAGTGTTTGCAAGGGTGCTCAATTCGGGCAGCTCAAGTGACCTCTATGTGGGGAGTGCTCTTGTTAGTGCATTCGCGAGACATGGCATGCTTGATGAAGCTAAGAACATTTTTCTCAGTTTGAAAGAGAGAAATGCAGTTACCTTGAATGGTTTGATCGTGGGCTTGGTTAAGCAGCACTGCAGTGTAGAAGCAGTTAGGATTTTCATGGGGACTAGGGATTCAGTTGTTGTCAATGCAGACACATATGTTGTGTTGCTCGGTGCGATAGCGGAGTTTTCTGTACCAGAAGATGGGTTGATGAAAGGTACGGAACTCCATGGGCATGTTCTTAGAACTGGACTTATTGATTTGAAAATTGCTATCAGTAATAGTCTGGTTAATATGTACGCCAAATGTGGTGCCATTGATAAAGCCTGTAGAGTTTTCCAGTCGCTTTGTACAAGGGATCGGGTTTCCTGGAACACCATTATCTCAGTTCTTGATCAGAATGGTTACTGTGAAGGTGCAATGATGAAGTACTGCATGATGAGACAAGATTGTATAAGTCCGTCAAACTTTGCAGCAATTAGTGGCTTGAGTTCATGTGCAAGTTTGAGACTTTTGTCTGTGGGCCAGCAAGTGCATTGTGATGCTGTAAAGTGGGGACTGGATTTAGACACCTCTGTTTCAAATGCACTAGTTAAAATGTATGGAGAATGTGGAGCTAGGTCTGAGTGCTGGGAAGTTTTCAACTCTATGGCTCAACATGATGTAGTTTCCTGGAACTCTATCATGGGTGTCATGGCCAATTTGCGAGCACCTATTGCTGAATCGGTAGAAGTTTTCTCCAAAATGATGAGGAGTGGGCTGGCCCCAAATAAAGTTACATTCGTTAACTTATTGGCTACATTGTCGCCATTGTGTGTGCTTGAATTGGGAAAGCAGGTTCATGCTGTGGTGCTAAAGCATGTAGCTATAGAAGATACTGCAGTTAATAATGCTCTAATGTCCTGTTATGCTAAGTCAGGAGACATGGATTCTTGTGAGCAGCTGTTTTCGGAAATTTCTGGCAGAAGGGATGCTGTCTCATGGAATTCAATGATTTCAGGGTACATCTACAATGGCCATTTGCAGGAGGCTATAGACTGTGTTTGGCTTATGATGCACAGTGACCAAGTGATGGATTGCTGCACCTTCTCCATTGTACTGAATGCATGTGCCTCTGTGGCAGCGTTAGAGCGTGGAATGGAGATGCACGCTTTTGGTATTAGGTCACAGCTCGAGTCTGATGTTGTGGTTGAGAGTGCTCTTGTTGATATGTACTCAAAGTGTGGAAAGATAGGCTATGCCTCAAAGGTGTTCAGTTCCATGAGTCAGAAAAATGAGTTCTCATGGAACTCTATGATTTCTGGTTATGCAAGACATGGTCTTGGAAGAAAAGCTTTGGAGATATTTGAAGAAATGCAGCAAAGTGGAGCAAATCCAGACCATGTCACATTTATAAGTGTTCTATCTGCCTGTAGTCATGCTGGATTGGTAGACAGAGGTCTAGAGTACTTTGAAATGATGGAGGACCATGGTATATTACCTCAGATTGAACATTATTCTTGTGTTATAGACCTTCTTGGTCGAGCTGGCAAGCTCATCAAGATACGAGAATACATCAGAAGAATGCCAATGAAACCAAATACTCTCATATGGAGGACTGTATTAGTTGCTTGTCGACAATGGAAGGACAGGGACAAGATAGATATGGGGCTAGAAGCTTCAAGGATGCTTTTGGAACTAGAACCTCAAAATCCTGTAAACTATGTTCTTGCATCTAACTTTTATGCAGCAACAGGAAGGTGGGAAGATACAGCCAAAACCCGAGCTGTAATGGGGGGAGCAGCAGTGAAAAAAGAGGCTGGTCGCAGTTGGGTAACCCTAGGTGATGGGGTTCATACCTTTATTGCTGGAGATAGATCACATCCGAACACCAAAGAAATATATGAAAAGCTGAGTGTTTTGATTCAGAAGATAAGGAGTGCTGGTTATGTTCCAATGACAGAGTTTGCCCTGTATGATCTTGAAGAAGAGAACAAAGAGGAATTGCTAAATTATCATAGTGAAAAGCTTACAGTTGCCTTTGTTTTGACTCGCTCCTCCTCAGGTGTCCCCATAAGAATCATGAAGAACCTTCGGGTTTGTGGAGATTGTCACACGGCATTTAGGTACATATCTCACGCTATTGGCCGGCAAATCATTTTAAGGGATGCCATCCGATTCCACCATTTTGAGGATGGTAAGTGTTCTTGTGGGGATTACTGGTAGCTTGTTCATAAGATGGTAACAGTGACAAGCTATTGTTAACCTCTTCGGACTTTGTCGTACCAGACAACCAGGTACATGGTGTTTTTAACTTATCTCGAATTTGAGGTCAGTTTTGCTATTCAAAGGTACATGTAATCTGTTCCATTACCGTGAATTTATGGCCGCCTCCTATCCCAAGATGCAAAAAGATCCCTAACCTTGCAAATAGCATATTACTTGACTATAACATGAATACTGACTTAGTTGATGCAGTTTGGTGCTATATGAACACTCCTATGCGGCTTAGAATTAGCAATCTGGAAGCTCTGCTTAACTGTAGGCATTCTTCAGTGAGTATCCATGTATAGCATACTCCACGAAGGGTAATATTTTATATTTGTGATGCATCCATAGTCGGTGTGAATAGCTTGTTTTGTTCCAGGCAACCAAGTTCACTTTTTGCACAAACCATCAGTTTATAAGTCTCACTATATCTTCAGTACATCGTGGTGTAGACATGATATTATACTCTATGGTAATAATATCTTTGATCGCAAAAACAAGAAAACCGATTTGATATATGGTTTTGAAATAGTCACCCAGCTTAGTTAAATATTATGGACCAACTAACTCAACTCACTCAAACTACGTGACTTGTTCTTTGGCCAGAAAGCTAATTTAGGATTGAAACCCTGCAATTATTCTAGATAACCCTTTACCATGTACGTTAATCAAATATCCATTTTATTACTCTTGAGTAAATTCATGTAGTATTAACAAACAAGTAAGCTGGAAAGTGAATTTTACATTCATCAAAACTGACATGACAACACAAATGAAACTCAAGGATATAATAGTGTGCAAGATTGATCTTTCTATACGTTGGATGAAAGAAGATAGATTATACTTCAGACTTATACAGAACAACACCGTCAAACATGAGCCATCAATCCAAATCCACAATCCCAAAATTGGAGAGAAGGATCTTCATTTGCTCAACGAAATCCGAGCCTGTTGCGTACTCTGTTAGCATCCCCACTGCAAACCCAAACATAGCCCATCTGCAGAAGTTTTTATAACCAAAATCACGATGCAGGAACAAGCAATCTTAAACTTTTTAACACAACTTTTAACATTAAATCCGTATCATCCTGCATTTCAACATGCTTGTCATAGTTACTAGCACCTTCTATCTGTTTGTATAATTTGGAAGTACATGAGGGGAAAAGAACATTATAATTTGCAGCAACTTCACCATGATCTCATTCTTGAATACTCATTAACATGCCCAAAAACTAATTACAAGATCAGTTGTTTGTTAAGGGTATGCTGTGTGCTATTTGTTACAAGCTTATACACCCTGATTATTGTGGACCATCAATTTGCAATTTAGTACATACTATGTTAGTAGATATTGCTATTTCACGAACTGATTATTCCGTTTCATCCCCTGATTGCTAGTTAGAAAATCCAATAAATAAAGCATGTAATGCTTAAATTTCATGCAACTTGCATTTACCTTCCATTGGCAATCTCATTCTTGGCCAACCACCCAAAGAAGGGTCCCTGGTTGGTCTCCTCCAGCTTTTTCTTCTTGAAGTATTCCTGTAGTTCCTTGGCCACCTTCCTCTGGTACTCGAACGTCACAACCCCTCCCACCGGTGGCGTCGCAGCGGCAGCCACTGCCGGTTTGGTCTCGGGAGGAGGAGGTGATGGCTGTGCTGGCTTCACTGGGGTCGGTGGCTGGGACAGGCTCGGAGGGGTGGACAGAGCTGGCGTCTTGGGAGGCATAGGCGGGGGCGGCGACAGTGGAGGCGCCGCGGGTCTCCTGGGCCCCTCGGCCTTGGAGCTTCTGATCACGGCGAACGACCTGCATGCCCGGTACGGAGGCGGCGGGACGATGCGTCCCACCTTCACCTTGATGGAAGGGATGGAAGGTGCCAAAGACATTGCTTGGTTTGAGCTGCTTGGCGTTCTTGATTGTCTCTTGGATGGCAGGAAGGAAGAGAGAGACGGAGGGGAAGAGAGTGGGAGGGAAGGAGGGAACGCGTGGAGAAGGTTTGGACACACACCGGCCTGGCCATTGTGGATAAGAGTGTGTGGTGCCTACCAAGCCCAGGTCTCTTCCCCTCTCTGGGGGAGCCAAGACGTTTTTTCTTTTTGATCGGGTGGGGGAACCAAGACGTTGGGGATGCGCGGGAGGCGAAGCGGCAGGTGTTCGATGGCGAGTTGCGGATTACTTTGTGAGGTTTGCAGGGACTCGACATGGGCGCAGCATGTTCAGACATTCCTGCCTCCTGGTCTGCGTGTTGCGATTGTCCCAGTCAGTAGTCCCCAGTGTACTTGTCAGTTGGAGACCTGTGTGCTCGTCTTTTCACTTTTCTGAACGTGAGACTTGCGTGGATTTTTTTTAACATCGGCATAATATTGACTAAGCAACAACATTGCAAAGAGTCCCCTAGATACAATCTGGAACAGAATGAAAAACACACAAAGCACTAGTAAGATTCTTACAAGACTTAGCTAACACATGAGCCACTACATTGAGATGCTGACGAACATGCTTGAACTCCACGGAACTGAAGCCACGAGCCCCTAGAGAAATATCAGCCACCACCGAACCGACAGAAGAATCGTCACGAACTGAAGAGTGAAGTTGTTGGACAAGCGGCAGGCAATCTGAAGCAAAAACAACACCACCAAAACCCTCATTGCGAGCCAGATAAACAGCCCAGTGAAGCGCCACCTGGAAGGGTTCACAACAAGCCGCAATGCAATGTCCAGAACGGTCTAACGCCACAATACCAACACCTGGTTGATCAAGATCATCAAATATTGCTGCATCAGACAAGATCAATACCGTACCTGCCGGCGGCGGAGACAAAGTGGAGCTAGAAGCAGGAATTTCACGCCTATGAACAAACACTGGTTTAAACAAATGAGTCACGACTCACAAATCAAGCGATACGCCTTGATTTTTCCAGCAATACGTCGTGGATGTCATATCTTGTAATTGTCCCGAGCAAAATTCCAGGCATCCCACAAATGCCAAAAGGTGTCGGCCATCACCGTAGCATGGAGTTCGGACGACCGGGAAATCAAATATCCATTGCTTCGGCAATCTAAAATCAGAACGGGCAAGCAGGACATCATAAGAAAGTTTAACCTCGTCTCAAAACTCATGAGCATAAGGACAGAACACCATGCAATGCTCCACCCTCTCAGGCTTGCTGCAGAACGGACAATCCACATACGTCGGAACATGACTTCGTTGTAACTGCAAGCCAGAAAGAAGGCAGTCATGTGCAAACCTCCATAGCACTTTCCATTTTATCAGGAGCACACAGAGACCACAAGGATTTCCGGTTCTTCTCCGCTTTGGAACTATTTGAACTCTGATCATTACCACTGCAAACTTGCGAAAGCATGAAACTCGCTGACCTGGTCATATTATAAGAAAAACGAACAGAATACTGCCCATAACGAGTAAGAGGCCACCGAGCAAAATCCTCAACACCATGTTGACTGATATGAATTTGAAGAATCTCTCTAGCCACATCAGCCGAAAAGAAGGCATGTACAGTTTCCTCATTCCAGGAGCCCAACTCATCAATCCATCAAGCAATGGCCTGTAGCCGTAGCAAGGATAGGAGATGTTGTACGGAGTAAGTATGGTGGTTTATTAGGAATCTAGAAATCACACAGAATATGAATTTTATTGCTATCCCCAGTGCCTCAGGCCACACCCCGCTTCTGAAGTTTTCGGCCAAACAAAATATTGCGCCACGCATATGATGCTGGCCGTGGTGTAGGTGCATTCCATAAATCACCAAGAGGGAAGTATCGCCCCTTCAAGTTCAGTGAGAAGGCGCCAACACTGTCTCCTAACATAGCCTGGTTGAACAAAGGAAGATCGCGAAAGCCCATACCACCAGGAGATTTCGGCGACGAGAGCCATTCCCACGAGCACCAATGCATCTTCTCCCTTCCATTTTCCCTGCCTCACCATTCATCCGCAACAAGTTGCCAAACTTCACACAAGTGGAGATAGGAACTTCAAAGTGACAAAGGTCGAAATGGCTTGAATTACTGACTTTAGCAAAGCTTCTTTTCCCGCCCGGGATAGAGGACAATCAGACATACCATGTACCTGCTGACAGGCCCTATCGGAAAGAAATTTGGAGATGGCCGAAGTAGATCTGCCCACTTCAGTCGGCATGCCCAAGTAGGAAACATCAAAAGACTCATTGCTGATTCCCAAACGCGCCATCACACGCAGCTTGACCGCTTCAGGACAAAGACTGAGACTTGCGTGGTTTTACAATGTGTGGCGGTGTAATTTTTACAAGTAGCCCTATGTTTTCAAGGCGCCCAGGCGCTTTAAGGCGCTGGGGGGGCGCCTCAACGCCTAGGCGCTCAAAGCGCGAGGCGAGGCGACGCCTTAGACACTTATTATTAGGCGGTAGGGGTACTAATATGGCGGAGGAGCTTGGCTGGAGAGGGGGAGGACCGGCGGAGATGGATCTTGGCCGAAGAGGGGAAGGGCCTGTGGAGGAGGAGCTTGGCCAGACAGGGGGAGGCCGGCGGAGGAGTAGCGGATCTGGGCCGGCGGCGTGAGAGGAGAGAGCTCCTCTCTCTTTTCCCCTCGATTTGGAGTCACGGGTGTGTTCCCCTCTCTCTCCTGCCTCTGTTTACCCCCTCTCTCCCGCCCAATTTCTCTTCCCTCCCGCCAATTCCTCTTTCTGGCGCGCGCCAGCTGCTGGTTCCCGCTCAACCTGCCCACGCATGTCCAGGGCGTCCAAAATCAACTAAAGCGGCGCCTTATCCGCCGAGGCGACGCCTTGGACGCCTCAACAGCAGAAGGCGGACGCCTTAGACAGAAAACTAAGGCGACGACGACGCCTTGACGTCCCCGAGCGCTCTGACGCCTAAGCGTCGCCTAGGCGACGCCTTGAAAACATAGAAGTAGCCACATGTTCCATTAAACAAACAGATTACCATGGACACACATGAGCACCACGGGGATATGTGTCTCAAGTTTTGCACTCAAGACCCTACAAACAAAAATTTATAGTTCCAACCTTGGAGATCCTTTTGCCTTCACCTTCGGATTGCCAAAGGTGTTCGCTTGATCGTGGGACAGTATAGATGAAGTGCATGTTATATCAACAAGATGATAAGATAGGGTTCCGAAAACAGTCTTGGCTTGGTCGTGGGACATTCACATAGACGGACTACACGAAGTTGTAGCCCTACAAACTTTTAACTAAGCAAAATCCAAAGAAAATACCATGAGGTTTATCAACATTGATGGCCGCAGAGGTGGATGCAGCAGCCCGGGATCAGCACAACACGGAGATGGCAAAGATGAAGGATCAGATAGCTCAGGCTAAAGCGGACCTAGCGGCAGAGAACGCTAGGATGGCTACAGAACGGGCCGAGTTGGAAGCTCAGACCTACCGGATTAGGCTGGATCAGAATGCTTCCGAAGAAGTCATGAGAAGAAGGTACCGATCGCATCTCCCGTCGGGTTGTGAGCCACGAAATCTCTTCAATACGCCAGGAGCAGGAACTAGTAACCAGCCAATATTAAATCGGACGAAGGCACCAGGAACAGGAGCGCCAGTTCAGCCGCGCACGATGGACCCGCCTCGTCAGAATAACATTGTGCCACAATATGTTCCAACACCTCCCGGGCATTACTCCAACCCGTTGGACAACATTGTGGCCGCCGCTTCACGGTTAGCAGCCCTCCCAACCGACGGCGAGTCACCAGTTGCGGTTGAAGCACGACGGGCCAGAGATCTCCTTCAAACAGCTCTAAATCAGCAGCAGGCATATTCGCACAGTCGTGAGAGGATTCATTCCACTCCACGTCCAAGCCGGAGCTACAACAAGCATGTTGAGGATGAACCGGCCGTATCAAGCAGTGCACGTCGCCGTAACTCGCAGCGAGGACACAACCCGGCAAGGGGCAGTGCCAATGCGCAGGATGTGGTGGATCATGGTCGTGCACGTCGGGAGGCCGAGTTAGCGGCTCTGCACGGGGCCCGTCAACTTACTCCGGTTCGCCCCACCGCTTCAGTCGAACCAGGGGTAGTATTCAGTTCCTTAGGGGTGCCGTGCCTTACCCCCGGTTTGTGTAATGTGAGACTGCCCAAGGGTTTCAAAGGACCTCGTAAGGTACCCAATTATACCGCCGATCTGCAACCAGAGGCGTGGGTTGAAAGCTACGAGATGGCAATGGAGATGTTGGATGTGGATGAAGCAGTATGTGCTAAATACTTCACCCATGATGTTGGAAGGAACAACTCGTACTTGGTTGAAGAGCTTACCAACTAACTCTGTCGGATCATGGGCCGAATTGAAGCACCGGTTTATCCAGAACTTTAAAGATACTTGTAAGCAGCCCATGTCAATTGTGGATCTGGCCGCTTGTGTCCAAGAGGAGGGGAATCCATGACCCATTGGGTAAAGCGGGTCTTAGCAATTTTGCATTCATCGGATCGTATCAATGCAGATACCGCAGTACTAGCATTGGAGGGCAATTGCCGTTTTTTGCCGCTCAAACAAAAGTTAGGAAGGCTCAAGCGTCACTGCAATGATATGTCGATGCTTATGAACGCTTTGGTTAAATACGCCGATTCGGATACTACCAAAGAGCCTGACTCAGAGGAGGACAAACCAAGGAAAGGGAAAAAGAACGGCAACACCAAGGGGCAGCAGCATAATCCGGCCAGCCATGGCAACAATGCTAAGCGCAAGGCTGACAACAGTTTGAACTTTGTGGCTAACACCAAGGCTCAGGAGAATGGTCAGCGCCGTAAGGGTAAGTAGCCTCAGAGAGGCGGCGGTTTAGGCCCCAATTTGGAGCGCCTGTTAAATCAACCCTGTCCAAAGTATGGATCCAAGGAGAAGCCAACATCGCATCTTTGGAAGGATTGCTACAT